TTCACTTGCATCATTATAAAGATAATCATTATTATAATATATATAAAGTTTTAGAAATTGAAATTTCAAAATAGAAATATTTTTTGAAAGATAAAATCATACCAAATAAGAGTTCAAGTTGTATATAAGAGTCACGTCGTAATCAAAGAATCGTCTATATCGTGTCAATCTTTGTGCTTTGCCATAAATATGAGTTATTATTTCACTTTGTGGCTATTTTTAGGTTCCAATGACACTTATGAGAATAATGCAAAAATAAAATTATCACTCCAAGAATTGAGGAAATATTAGTCTCTTTTCATGTAGTGTTTCTTAATTAATATCTGACGATTATCTATAATTATTTAGAAGGTTTAAATGTTAAGGTTATTTACATATAATTCAAATAAATCAGATATTTAACATGGTTAATGTCAAATACCAAAATGGAGTAAAAAGAATGCACTAGCTAAAGAATTTTTTTATATTTTTAGATAGCCAACTAAAATGGTTCTGAATTAAGAATATGGCTAAAATGAGTTCTGAATTAAGAATAATATTTTTCAATTACATTATTATAAAAATTATTATTATTGAAAAATAATATTTTAGAAACTGAAATTTTAAGAAAGAAATATTTTTTAAGAAATATCAACACACCAAATAAGAGTATAAGTAGTAGAAAAAGAGTTAAGTCTTATCCAAAGAGTAATTCATTGTCTCAACATTTGATTGTTTTGCCATAAATATGAGTTATTATTTTGCTTCCTGACTATTTTTAGGATCCAATGACATCAGCAAGAATGGTATCAAAAAAGAAAAATAGAAGAAATGGCTAATTTTTTTCATGTAGTTAATATCCAATGATTATTTATATTTACTGAGAAAGTGTAAATTTTAAGATTATTTACATACAATCCAAATAATTTATATTTGACATGATTAGTGTCCGCGCATCCACGCGGGTACTAATACTAGTATTATATAAAGACCATTGAGGCTATGTCATCTTCTCATTATGTGTAGTCTTTGACTGTAGGCAGGCCTTCCGCGTTAAATAAAGGAAAATTTTCATAAAGCACTATCTTTTCGTAGTAATTAGTCATCAATAGATACTATTTGCTATATTACGGATTATAGATACCTTTTATGTGGTTATAAGATGTATTTGATGTATTTAAGCTATTGTATTCATGAATACAGTAGCAAAAATAGGCGTGAATCAGGGAAGTCCAGCTAATCAGTTGTTGTATTCGAGTGTATTCAACTGTATTCATGGAGTGAAACATGGGATTACAGCTGGACAGATTATTGTATTCGGCTGTATTCACGGCGTGAAATAGGGGATTACACTATTTTTAAAACGGAAAGTGAATCAATTAACATAATAGACTCCTAATATAACTCAGCAAACTCAATTATAACACACAAAATTTGTATTTTCAGTTATAAAAAAGATTCTCAACCAAAAAATACCCCAAAAACATAGCAATCTTCAGAGAAATTATATAATACATCTGAATACATAAATTATATTAATTAAAAAAATTTATGAATACATTCATGGCATATAGCGAGATAGTGAATACGATAAAATACATAGAATACAGCGGAATACATTGAAATACAATGGAAAAAAAGACAGAGAATACAATAAAATACATGGAATACAACGAGATACATTGAATTACAATGGAAAAAAAAGACAATGAATACAATGAAAATCATGAAAAAAACAGCGTAATACGTTGAAATTACATTGAAATATATTAAAAGAAATGCTCTTCTTCGTCGCGAAAGAAAGAAATCGTCATTTAGTGGATCTCCGAAACCGATTCCTCTTTCCACGACCGCCATCTCCTCGTTGGACTTAAAATTATGAGCAATATTCCTATGTTGAAGTTGATGAAAATCTCAAAAATTTTGAGTACTACTCAAACGATCAGAATCTTGAACTTCTTGTTTGCACCATAGCCTTATGCTTTTTATTGCTGCAATGTCATAAGCTGCCGCCAACTCCTCTACTCCAGAAGAAGACAAAGCAAAAAGAATGAAAAAAAGTTGATTAGCGTATAATGGGAGGGGGAAGTGGGAAGGGATAGAAAGAAAATCGGTGGAAGGAGGAGGAGATCTGAAATTTTAATAGGATGGGGAAGAGAATGGGATGTATCAAAGTAGAGAGAGAAAGAAAATAGTATAACTGATTAGCGTATTTAGTGGCTTAGGGCTAGGAGGTAACCAAAATTAAATATTTTGCTATAAACCTTAAAAGGTAGCTATAGAATATAATTTTTTTAAATAATATTTATTTAAAATAAATAAGGTGTTAACCTTTGTTATAGAAGGTAAAAATTCCTTAAATAAATCTTAATTATTATTCCTGTTTGAATATCAGTGTATTGTATCTTCCTAAACTGTATATTAATTTCTACCTTTTCCATGTTCTTATACAATTACTAAGTACTATTAATAATTCATGGATAGTAATGAGTGATGACAAGGCCTTCACAAATAACTTTAAACTAGTTTAGGAAAATGAACAATTCATAAATACGATTAGCATGTTTTACGCGCGCTTAATTAAATCGATCGTCGTGATGATGTACACGTTAGCGTGACACAATTGTGATTTCCAAAATAATTCGAGGTACGCGTTTGCGCGGCTTTGGCCAAATAATCTTGATAGTTAATAAAGCGTGCTTAATTGTGTACACGTACGCGGTCATGATTCTTGACGCGCCAAACGAAATGAGTGCACGTACGCGGTCATGATTCTTGACGCGCCAAACGAAATGAGTGCACGTTCGCGTGACTCGTTTTAAGATAAATCCATAAATGCCTTATTTTAAAAGCGGTAAAAGGTAAAATGCACATAGGTTTTAAAATACGTAATTAAATAATTTAATTAAGCCAGATATGATTAAAGCGACCGTGCTAGAACCACGGAACTCGGAAGTGCCTAACACCTTCTCCCGGGTTAACAGAATTCCTTACCCGGTCTTCTATATTCGCAGACCATAAATAAGAGTCATTTTCTTCGATTTGGGATTTAAAATAAACCGGTGACTTGGGACACCAATAATTATCCCAAGTGGCGACTCTGATTAATTAAATAATCCCATTTCGAAAAATATCACTTAAATTGGAAAAACTCTCTATCCCCGGGAAAAAGGAGGTGTGACAGTCACATAATCAAATTAGAATAAATGAAGCATAGTTATATAATGTAAGCTGATGTTTTCTAATAACTGAGACCACGGACAAGAAATATTGCAAACTTATGATTCTTGAAAATTCTATTTGAACCCTTTGATTCTAAACCTAGCTTCTTCTTTGCTTTGCCGGAGTTTACTTTACCTGTGCAAAACTCGATTATCAACAATGAACACATGCATGGATTTTGTTTCCCAAATTAGACGTGGAGAACCCCACAACTTACCTTTTTGATGCCATCAGAGACCGGCCACCAGAAAAGCTTATTTTATACTTTAAAAGACTGAAGCAACTCAGCAAAACATATAGATCTGACATCGAAAGACTGGAGAAGAAAGAGAAGCGCAGAGAAAAGTTGAAAAACTAATCAAACAAGAGATGACACTTCCAAGCAGCGCAAGAGTAGCAATTGCTGAGAGGAAAAGGAGGAGCAGTGGTGTGGAAAGGAAATTGCAGAGCTAATATTATAAGACCCAAATACTGTAGTTAGGGGTGTTCATAAAAACTCGAAAAATCGAACCAAACCGAAAACCAAACCAAACCGATCAAAAAAACCGATACTTTTTGGTTTGGTTTGGTTTTGGTTTTGAATTTTAAAAACCGATCAAATTTGGTTTGGTTTTGGTTTTAGTCAGAAAAAAATCGAACCAAACCGACTATAGGAGTAGCTATTTCAAATTTATTATTACACCTATATATATGTATATTTTTATACAAAGTTTCAAATTTTTTATGGTAAATGTTAATAGTTTGCACTTTTGGTATAGTTCTTTACCTATACATTCTAGTTTGATGGTAGTTTTCTTTTGTTAAGTATAAGAATCCATTTCGTGTTAAAAATAATATATTTTTAGTTGAGTCCTTAAATTATTCATCACTATTTGATTCAATTATCATCAATATATCTTGGTAAATAATAGACTTCTCAAAGGGCAATTGATTTTATAGTGTTACGTTGAAAATGTGATCGTCGAAATATGTGTTTCGTAGTATATGTTCTATATTTAAGAAAAAACCGACAAATAACCAAAAAAAACCGAAAAACCGACAAAATCTGACATAAACCGAATCGAAAAAAAACCGACTTAATTGTTCTGGTTTGGTTCTAATATTTGAAACACCGACTTACTTGGTTTAGTTTTTTTTTAGGGAAAAACCGATCCAAACGGAACCATGAACACCCCTAACTGTAGTGAATGCCGTACTACAAATACACTAAATTTGCTGAAGAGAAGTGGAATCCACATGTATATTCAGCAACCAAAAATTCTATAGTACAATTTTCACTGCTTTATGTACAATGTTCATTGCTGTGTTCGTACACTTTTAAATGTGGCTTCTAAATATAGTAATATGTAGTTTGGTAGCTTTAAATTGTTGAAAATACTTAAAACAATTTTCTACAAAAAGTTACACCATGTTGTTTGTTGCGTAATTCAATGGCAGATAGCGGTCGAAAAATTTGTATTATCAACATGTTAACTTAATTATTATTTGACCTATGCCAAAAGTCTATGTTGTAGATGGAGATTCGAGCAAAGGGGACTACACAATTCAATACAAGAAACGGTCTCATTTTAGGCAATAGGAGGAGATATGTGGTGACGACAGGCAAAAGAGTTTGCTGAGGGACAGAAAGATGATACGATAGTAAGTAAGAGTCCACTTACGTAATATATAGAATCTGGTTTAAGTTTATTTTCATTTTCATCGTATTGTGAGTGGCCATTTTGATCTGCAGATTCTTCAAATTTGCGTTGCCAATAAGTATATAATTAAAGTCAGGAGATAGAAACAGAAGCAAAGAGAAACTGAAAACAGGTCTTGTAACAATTAAAACAAAACCCATTAATTTTTTCTTCATTATATTCTACACACGTCAACTTAATAGGATGAGGATACAAACTTGTCATTCACATAAACATTATGAACAAATAAAAGTTCACTACCCAATCACCTAATACAACACCTAGAGATCTAAAATTCCTGTGAAGCGGAACCCACTTCAGCTTTTCCTTTGCCAATCTTCTTAGGAAGTAAATTCTGGTGAATATTGGGCAAAACACCACCATTAGCAATGGTAGCAGATCCCAACAACCTGCTCAATTCCTCATCGTTTCTCACAGCTAGTTGTATATGCCTAGGAACAATCCTGTTCTTCTTGTTATCTCTCGCAGCATTCCCAGCAAGTTCCAACAACTCAGCAGTAAGGTACTCAAGAACCGCTGAGAGATAAACCGGTGAACCGGAGCCAACTCGCTGAGCATAACGACCCTTTTTCAAAAACCTAGCAACTCGACCGACGGGGAACTGGAGACCCGCCTTTTGAGATCTGGAGACGGATTTTGAAGCATTTTGAGTTTTTCCTCTACCACCCGCGGATTTGGTTCCTGTTGTTGAAGGCATGTTTAAAGTAGGTGTCCAATTTGAATTGTTTTTCCAGCCATTTATTCTTCTGTGTTTATATAGAGTGGATGTGCGAGGTTTGATTGGTCCGTTTAGGTTCCACACGGATCGCCAACGTGGCATTTTGTTCCTTTTTGGTTTTCCTGCCCCTAAACTTGATTGGCTGTTTAGCTTTACTGGGATTGCCAGCCTGGCATCTAAATTTCTAAGTTTTGCTCCTTCTGGCATGTCTAATTTAACACCAAATGTTGCTTTTTCTTATTTTCCTTTTCTAGCTTTGATCATTTTCCTTCACACAATTAAAAGGAAGTGTGGGGAAGATTAATTGGATGCCCCGGTTAGGAGACAACCATAATTCAAACTGATGATATTATAATTTGAATTATGATTTCTTAATCGTTATGTTGTCTTCTAAAGATATTTTTCACCTATTTTTAGTTTTTGTACATAATGCTATTTTCCTAGTTATTTACCTAAGTTCGCTTAGGTACACCGGCAGGCGGCAGCCATTTACCAAAAAGGTTTTTACTACTCTAACTCGTTTCAATTTTACGTGACATAATATAAATCGACATAAAATTTAAAAGGAAACTTTTAAATATGACATACCATACATATTGCTATAAATTTGAAACTTGTGGAGCAAAACATACCATAATATTTGTATGACAAGTTTCTCACTACAGCTAAAATGAGAAATATAATTTTTTTTTCTAATATAAAAGTATGCCATTCATTTTTAAGAAGCACTAATAAAAAAAATAGTATTGCATAAAGTGGAACACAGCAAGTAACTGATAACATTGTGCATCCAGGGTGTGCTGGGAGTCTCTCTCAGTCTTCTCAATACTACTACCAGGGATTAACGAACACCACAGGTATTTCATGCCTTAGCAATTTCTAAGATTAAGTGATATTCTAAGAGACGAAAGGAGTATCTCTTTAAATTACTGAAGCAAACAGAACACATTATGACTCATTAATAATAAAATTTCTTTTAGAATTTTAAGTTAGTATGAGAACACTGCACCCACTTGGTAGTTGGTATAGTATGTGCAAACATAGTGTTAATTACTCATATATTAAATTTTTTTATATCATTCACACATAAAACTCGGAACCTAATTCATGCCTTCGCAATTTAAAAGACGAAATGACTTTTCTAAGAGATGGAACATGATATCTCGGAGATATTATCTCTCCTTATTTACTGAAATAAAACTGAAGAATATATATACTCACTAAGATGCAGTGGCGGCCTTTCCATAGAGCAAGTAAAGCAACCGTTTTAGGTCCCATATTTGTGCGGGGTCCATTTTTATTACACCTAATAGACTATATATAAGTTTAAAAAAGAGTTCTGAAAAGTGAAAAGGTTTGATTTATTTCTTTAACAAATATAGAGAAGAAGGATTTGCAACTGCTATGATTTCTACCAAGAAAACTGCACTTGAAATGAATATCGAACACGAATTTTGCAAGAAACGTGCGATATATAGGAAGTAACAATTTGATGTGCAATGTTGATAATGAAATCTCAAAAGCTTTCGAAGAGTCCTTTAGAGTTGATTACTTTTATACATAATAGACAAGGCTATTTTTTCACTTCAAAATAGATTTGAACAATTCGAAGCATATGAAAATATTTTTGGTTTTCTATTTAGTAGTAAAAAGTAAGATGACTAGATGTTGGAAATTTGAAAAAATATTGCCTTAATTTTGGTTGTTCCTTAAAACATAATAATCAATTTGATATTGATAGTTTAGATTTATTTTCTAAATTAAAAATATTAAGGAATCTAGTACAATTAGAAGATAACAGTTTAATTGATACATTTAATCAAATAAAAAGATTTAATTCTTTCAAATGCCTAAATTGCTTATGGAATTATGTTAATAACTCATGTTACTGTTGCTTCAGCGGATTCAAAATTAAAATTGATAAAAGCTTACCCAAGAACAATAATGTCAAGAAAGGTTAAATGGATTAGTTATATTGTCAACTGAGAAATAATTATTAGGAGTTATTGTTGGTGAGAAAATTATTTATAACTTTGTATCTAAGAAAAGCTAAAAAAAATAGATTTCAATTAAATAATAAAAAAAATTAAAAAACTAAGGCCCCTCATAAAATTTGGCTATAGGCCACAAAATTGATCGGGCCGCCCCTGCTAAGATGACTACCATACTACAAGTGAAGTCACTTAAAAAATGATAAGAAAAATCAAAGAGTTCGATTTATTGGCGACCCCATGTGGAGAATTTTTCTTATGGATGCCCACACGTCAGGGGCGGCTCAAGAAAATTAGTGGCCTAAAGTAAATTTTTAATCTGGGGCCTTTCAAAAGAAAAAAATAATAATAATTTATCTATATTTTTAATTAAAGTCTATTTTTCTAGCTATTAGATGTAAAGTTGTTAATAGTTTTTTTTATAAATAATAATTTAATATCTCCTAAGATATTGTTGATATTAGATAATACAACCATATTCAAGAAGTTGATAACTTGATATCAAAATTATTTTTGATGTTCTAATATACATATCGAAACGCTTGAAACCTGAAGGGAAAAAAAGAATGCGAATATAGTTTTATTCAACAATACTCTTCGACTCTTGTTTTTATGATAGAAAAAATAAAACTCTTTTCTTCCACAGAGAACAATATAACTTTTAATTGGAAAAAGAGAATCACTGCCCTAAACCTTTGTCGCGAAAATAAAACTTTTTATTATTTAAATTTTACGATTAACATAATTAGTGAAGTACCTATATTATTATTCCCCTTTTACATTACTCACTAAAACGTGTAATAAACTTTTAGAATCCGTTTTTTGGTATCTTCAATAGTCTAAGTCTTATTTTTTATCTTTACCTTTTATAAAATATTTTACTTTTTCATTTTAAAATACCCAATATATTTAGACCCTACCTCCAAAAGAGAGATGTATATGATCCAACTTACCTTAATTAGATATATTGGGTTCGAGTCTTGTGGTTAAATAAATCCTATTAAAATATGTTCTCTCTTTTACTAGGCCTTACGCGGTACGAATCTAGATTAGTCGGGATCTCAATACAAATACGTGTAGAAAACAAAAAGGAAAATTTGGGGCCCCAAAATTTGGGTAAAAATGGCGTGTGGTAGCCACTAAATAAGGTGGTGTTTATTTTTTATCCACCAATTCTAATGCTGAGCAAAAATAGCCACTATTCTATTAAAATTATTTTGAAAAGACATTTTTACCCTTTCTTCCATTTCTTTTCTTCCCAAACCCTCCTTCTCTCTTTACAGAAGTGGCTGGCTATGTGTGCTTCTCTCTCAATCTCTTCTGTGCACTTTTTCTCTCAGTAACACATGGCTATGTCTCTGATCTTAAACTCGCCCTTCAACCAAGCTATTCTAAGTTTACATCCTTAAATGCATTATAACTTATTTGTTCCTTCTGTATAAAGTGTCTTTTAATTCATGTATTTGTGTCTCGAAAAAACACCATGAATGCCTTTTAGAAGATATTTCATGAAAGAGAAAATGAAGGTTCTGTAGTCTTTTATTTTTTTAGTTGTTTCTTTTTGTTATTAGCTTTCTGTTGTGTAATTTGATATCAATCTTATATGTAAATTGCAATTTTTTTTTGTGAAAAGATACAAATAACGTTTGGTTTTCTGCTACGTTATGGATCCTGAACTTACAGTTACAAGTTCAAAAGTTAAGGACACTTGGTCCTGAACATACAGTTACAAGTTCAAAAGTTAAGGACATGTAGTCCTGAAGTTAAGTTCAAAAGTTAAGGACATGTAGTCCTGAAGTCCTGAACTTAGAGTTCCAAGTTCAAAAGTTAAGGACATGTAGTCCTGAAGTCCTAAACTTAGAGTTCCAAGTTCAGGACATGTAGTCCTGAAGTCCTGAAGTTAAGTTCAAAAGTTAAGGACATGAGCAGAAGGGTATTTTCGTCCGGGCAATTAAAGTTTATTAAAGCAGTGGCTAAATACTAAAGACATTTTAAACCGTGTCTTAAAAGTAAATACATGTGTTATTAGTGGCTAACCGTGCACTTTCCCCAAAATTTGGGGGCCTAAAGCCTTTGCTTTAGTGGCCTGACCCTTGGCCGCCCACACGTAGAAGCAATTGTCCATTTGAGCTATTAACTGTCAGTAGAAAGATGAGGACTTGCCTTGGCTAGACTTATTCGCCAGGTTTGACTGGAAAGCCAGCAGACATGGCCTCAATTTTTCTAAGCTTATGTAATTGGATCATTGGACTGTCTTTTGAAGAGTTGATTTCCACTTAACTTAAGCAGATCCTACTTTCTGAAAACCAATCCAATGGTTCTTGATTATAGCACATGTCGAGCCTCTCTTTTCATGGCTAATCTCCTCTTCTTTTCTTCACATCATCTGATTAGTGGGCAACCTTCTCAAACTTTTATTACCAATTCCTCCATTTCCTGGATCAACAGCCCCTCCTATGTAGTGAATTCAACAGATGGAGTCAATTTGACACCCAACCTTCTCAGGGAAAGCAACGGGACAAGGTTTGTTTGTGGCTTCTTATGTGATTACAATGGCACTGCTTGCGTTTTTGGTGTCCTTTTATTTCCAGGTATCGATTATCCTTATATGGATAATCCGAGATTAGTCTGGTCAGCAAATAGGAATAATCCAGTTAGAGTTAATTCAACCTTGCAACTTAGGCAAGACGGAGGAATGTTCTTGATGGACTCAAATGGCACTTTGGTTTGGAATACAAACACAAGTGGAAAGCAGCTTGTTGTTTAAGGCTTCAACTTGACAATGATGGGAAATCTTGTCCTCTTTGGCAAAAGTAGTGACACCATTTGGCAGTCTTTTGGTCATCCTACTGACTGTTTGGTTCCTGGACAAAGAATGCTTCCTGGACAGAAGCTGATATCCAGCATATCAGCAACAAACTGGAATAAGGTTTGTTCACATTTGAAGTTAAAAG